AGCATAGATGGACTTCGATGCGGCAACCTTGCCCGAGGTAATTCCCTCTAAGGCAAGGCAACAAGTGTCGGAGATAATAAGTACAGAGTTGGGAGTGTTTATTCAGGACAAAGAGGATTTCCTCCGAGTCCTGAATAGACTGGCACTAAGGGTGGAGTTAACGGCTAAGGAACGAGGAAGAAAGAGCAGCGGTGGCATGGAAAAGGGAGGATAACACCAGAAAGGAGGGGAAGAAGCTGATAGAATTCTATATTAAGAATATAGCGGGGAATTCTCCCGGGGATGTAGGACTTTAGCAGGGATAGTGAAGGAGTTATGGGAGGATGAAGAAGAGATAACAGATGTACTGGTAGAAGAAGAGTTGAGTGAACTGATGAGGAGATTGTGGTTTTTTAAATAATCTCGATGTACCAATCTAATACTCACATGCAATTGTATGCGTTTATTTTTACAATTTGTGCAATTGTACAATTGAGGATACAGTCGTTTTATTGCATATAAATTGATATCTCTGATTCATAATTTGTGAAGTTATCCTCTGCAATGCAGCGGAGAACTTTCTCACAATTTTGTGGGAAGGATATGTTGTAGGGTCATTTTGGCATTTGCCAAAATAACAATTTTGGTCATAGTCTAGTCTAACACTTTATTACTACAATGAATCGGTGGACATAATAAAGATAGACGACTGATAAGAAAGGACCGTGAAGAAGGACGTGGAGAGAGAAGAATACGAAGGGAAGCCGAAGGGATGCGCAGAGGAGATCGCGAGAAGTGGAGCCCTAATGGCAAATGGACTTGAAACTGTTTAGATTCTAATCTTGATTCACGTTGGTTTCTATATTATAAGTTTATATGCATGTCAGTATTTGTCAAGTATTTTAGGGTAGTATTTTAGGGCATATATTAGTGTACGACATTTAGTACAGCAGGGTATTACAGAGAGTTTAGTTTAACACCTCTGTTTTGGTTACAAGGAAGATAGTTTAAGATATTGTTTAGAGCAGAGAGTTTTGGGGAGCAGAGAGTTCATTTTAACATCTCTGTTTTGGTTATCAGAGAGTTCAGTTTAACACCTTTGTTTTGGTTACTAGGAGGATAGTTCAGGATTTGTTTATAAATTGCTAGGGAGAGTAGGAGATTGTTTATACTTTCTGGGGATACTTAAGAGTGGGACTATTGAAGGGAGGTTACCCTTTTTTGGTTTGAAGACAGCAGAAGTTTACAGTTAAAGCTTACAGTTAAAGACCTAGGATATTTGAATTATTGAGATATTATATTGAGGAACATTGAGACATTGTATTTACAATTCTTAACCGTTCATTCAATTTGAAGTACTTTCCCCTGTCACCCTCCTGAACCAAATTGCAAGGAAAAGAACATTTTATCATTACCTAATTACCTAATTACCTACATAACCTAATCACCTAATTACCTACATTACCTAATTACCTAATTACCTAATTACCTAATTACCTAATTACCTAATTACCTAATTACCTAACTACCTACCTACCATCTCCTCGCTGGGGACCCGGATGTTTCTAGGATGACAGTTCTCAACATCTTAGCTATTCTATTCGATGAATATCTCATTATCAGCCTAGAGAGCTGTTTTATAGATACTCCTTTCGAGACTATCCTTGTTGCAGAAACGAAGGCTCTTGTTGCAGTCGCTGCAAACACATTTTCGTAGGATTTAGAGATTTTCTTTAGGGCTGTTAACCAGCATTTCGGGACGCAGTACTGTGTTATAAATCTTTATCTTTGGAGACCAGAGTCCGGTAACCACAACAACAACAACAACAATACCTACTCAACCTTTTTTAAATTTAACGGACGGATTTAAGAGTTTTAGGGACTCTTCGCTCAAAATCAATTCATTTTGAAAAATGAGGCCTCAGATTTGAAATTATTTGTAGTGAAGGTAAAAAATCTAGTAACCACGGCATTATTATTTAACTGTAGTTGATCGGCAAAATGATATTTTGGAAACCTAGGACTGATCGCCACAAAAATTAAAGTTTTATAAACATGATGGCCAAAATAGCGTGTTGATAACTTAGCAGCCGTTTTCGTTAGGTTTCGCAGTTTATTTGATTATGATTTACATCTCCCTAAACAAAAGCTCTAAAGCAAAATTATTTGTACACTTTTTCTGAGAATATGAGCGGAGATTTCTAAAATATATTCACGTTATTATTTAGCCGAATTAAGGGTCGGTGCACGGTATTCTGCGAAAACAGCGAATCTGGATAAAGCTCTCGGCCAATGATGATCAGATCAGCATATTCTCAATTCTCAGAATAAAACGTTCCGCCGGCCGGCCATGGCTGTTCTAGTTCTACTTACCAGGGTTCCAGGGTTTTGAAGTTGCTGCTAAAAGTAAAAGTGTTCTGCCCTGTGCTTACACTGCTCTAGTGAACTCCCTCATGAAATTCAGAGATAAAATAAACTCAAAGACATCGTTGCAATTGCATCGCGACTTCAAGTTGAAAGATAAGGTCAAACTAAACGAACTAATAAGTATTTGCTAACTGTCCTCCGGAGATGGTCAAATCATAACTCATTTTGTTCAGGTTACCTAGCCAGCAATCAAACATACCGATAATATCTTGTGGAGGGCTAGTTACTTTGATAATTAGTTATCAGGGATAATTTGGTAAAAGACAGACAAGGTATGAAGTCAGAAAGATTCCTTAATTTGCACCTATAAAGAGGTAGCATAATCTCTCTCTGAGTGGATTGATAACCACTTTTATCTCTGAAGTTAGGTATGGTGACGTAACGAGTTGTTTTCATAGGTGTGGAGTCAAGCCTTCGACTGCGAAGAACAAGTCATCGAATTCTGAACATTCTTAAATCATTGCAAGGAATTTTGAGCTATCTACTTATCTATTTCTAAGAAATCGCGAGATCCTTCAAGTTTCTACCTACACGACGTTGGGTTACTTAGTATGGTGCTGACCGCTGGCAGAGATACAAAAAACGATTCGAGTTTACAAGTGGAACAAAATATAATCACTCCAATCGCAGCTTGAAAGTTTTTTTTGTAAATCTAGAGCATAGTAAAAATAAAGGATCTGGAATCTGGATTATGCATACACAGAAAAATAAGCTATGCAATATGCACGACTAATAAACAATATAACAGAGTGAGCAAACAACAACTATGGATTGAGTTGTACATATTACTCATATTTATTGCATAATGATAGCCAAGCAAGAATCGTCGATAAATCAGGATGTGTACACTGTACAACCAATAACCATTCATTGACTCTCTTGAACACGCCAACCAACCCACCAAATAGGTGGGTAATTTACTTTATTTAATAGTCGTGGGTAAAGAATTGTGTAGTTATGCATATTCTGTACTTACGTGGGACGATCACAACGAACAGCAAAGCAAACGGCCACCACGGAAAATTAACTAAAAATTTCTGAAACAATACTCAACAGCTTGAAAAACAAGATTCTGACAAAAACTTGTTTTCGTGAAGCTTCAAGCTTGTATGATATAAAGTTTAAACTGTGTACAGTTCGCATGTCATGCTTTGCTCACACGCGGCGGATACAATATTATGTGACATGATAATGATATGTATAACAAACTAACTAATTTTAGATATAACACCAGTCACCTATTTCTATAGAAGAGATACGAATTATAGATTAGATACTATCTAGCAACGGATACTTATCTAAAACCATTTGAAGTCAAGCTGTTAACGTGAGCTACTAGTATAAAGATTGGACTTCAATTTTCAAATGTAATGGAAGTATGTTCCTCTCAATGATGATTCTTGTTGATCTGATGAATCGAGCCGATGGCAAACTAGGCAGTTTTTTTAATGGCTTGATGGCTGACGACATATTATCAATGATTTAATAGGGTTATGAATGATTTAATAGGGTTATGAAATAGGGGAAGCGCCACCCAGGAAGCGGCTGCCGTAGTTTAAGAAGCGGCTGCCGTAGTTTAAGGAAGATAGAACACACTTATTTTCTATAGCACCTAAGTACCAGTTGCAGTTCAAAATACGCAAGATCAGTTCCCACTCTCACACTTTACACAGAGACTATAGTTCCCACTCTCACACTTTACACAGAGCCTACAGTTCCCACTCTCACACTTTACACAGAGCCTACAGTTCCCACTCTCACACTTTACACAGAGCCTACAGTTCCCACTCTCACACTTTACACAGAGCCTACAGTTCCAACTCTCACACTTTACACAGATCCTACAGTTCCCACTCTCACACTTTACACAGAGCCTACAGTTCCCACTCTCACACTTTACACAGAGCCTACAGTTCCCACTCTCACACTTTACACAGAGCCTACAGTTCCCACTCTCACACTTTACACAGAGCCTACAGTTCCCACTCTCACACTTTACACAGAGCCTACAGTTCCAACTCTCACACTTTACACAGATCCTACAGTTCCCACTCTCACACTTTACACAGAGCCTACAGTTCCCACTCTCACACTTTACACAGAGCCTACAGTTCCAACTCTCGCACTTTACACAGAGCCTACAGTTCAAGTGATCCTTCTGAAAACCTTCAACCAGCCCCTCCTTCTCCTGTGAATTACGGGATTTTATTATAAGATAGCTAAATATTTATGTAATGATCTCAAAATTGGCATCATTACAAGTTTAGTCGTGGCTTTGAAGGAAGTAAAATGAGGCTGTGCGTGATCCAAATACAATTACGAGAATATTTTGATTTCCAAGAAATCCGATAGTTCGTGAAATCATTCATACTTTTCTAAGAATCCGATTTGCTGTCTGAGTTTCTTAGTCTAACTTGTCCAATTGAAAAGGACGGTTATTCGACCTTAATAGCTACGAAACTTTTTATCATGTAAAACAACACCATACATAACACATTTAGTGGTTTTTAATTCTTGTCAGAACATGGGACTTCGTTGTTACAAAGAAAATACAAATATTCTTTTGATAAAAATAGTTTTCAAATAAGTCACAGTTCACTGAATGTTTGCTATTGTGTAGGAGTTTGTTATAAAAACAAACAATCCATTGCAATTATACACATAGCGACATGCACGATAAAAATTCTATCGAGAATAACAAATATTATATTGTTGATAACATTTTATATGTTAAACTTATAACGCTGAATAAGTTTCATTTAAACTTCATTCAATCGAATTTTCGTCAAAAATTCTCATTTAATCTGATAAGGTCAATGTATATTATGAGGTAATTATGCTATTCTAACATACAATTTAAAAGATACATCGCGAAAAACATTCGCTAAATAACACAAGACGTATCAAAAATAAATGCAATATTCAGATAAGAATGATCAGGCATAATTTTTTAAAATCTTCAAATGTGTTATCTACAGGTGGCCGGTGGGACAAATTTTGAAACTCCAAAACGGAAGGTAGGATAGTAAACTAATGTATAATGTATACTGTATATTGTATAGTTCAGGAGGGTGTCATGTGATGAATATGCCCCTGTAATAAAATAACAATATCTAAACAGATCTCCCAAAACGAAAGTGTCGACTTTCTTACCATTGGAATAAAAGAAAAGTTGTAACTTTTCACTCAATACTCGGATTAGTAGTAGTATCTACTAACTTCACGCAATAATTCTAAAAGTTCATTCACCAATACAGATTCTTTGCAATCTCTGCTCTGCAACACTGACTTTTAAATTCAGTCTTCCTGTCTGCTTTAACATTTCGTAAATCAATCTGACCGATCTCGTACTAATTCAACATACAACACAGAACACCTATATATTCCCGGAGTATACAAGGTTATCTGGTGCTATGTGTAAACTGGAATTACAGAGATAAGAGCTTGACTAATCAGCAGGACACACTTCTCTTAATGTTCTCTGGATTTGTTAAAATCCCAAACAAGTAAGGTTCAATATCTACAAAGATTCATTTCCAATGAACCTGTTTCCTTCGCTATTTTTCCCGACGTATCTCTTCCTCAGCTTCCCAGCCACGCTGGTTCGCTTGTGGTTGGGTTTCAGAAGTTTGGCTTCTTTCAGGGGGGTTCCACGGCAGCAAAATAACTCTTCTTCTTTGATGTTCTGATCTGTTGCTCGAACGATTCCTAGAAGGAATATTAGATATTAAAAACTCTAAATTTGGTGGGGGCACCGCAATAAAAATTAACCATCTTTGGCTACTGACCGATAATCCCTGGCATACGAGGAATCAGTTAAAGTTGCTTTCTTATGAGTCTCCAAATATTGGACTATTTTATTAAAAATATCAATTTATGGCACAAAAATGCACCAAATATGTATCACTTACCGTTAAATGACTTGTATCGCTCAGAATCAGCTCTTTCTTTTGATGTAACGGGTCTAGAGTCGAGGAACTTCAGATTATTCAGGCGGCTTATCACGTGGTATCTGTACATCTGGAAGAAAACTTATTAAAACATCAGAATATGAAGCGATATCATATGGAACTGATAAGTTTCAAGCGGGGGTCACACGTAATTGGGATTTTGGGAGCTGTTAATTGGTTATTGTTGCTAAAGGCTGAGGTGTTTCTTACCTGATAATCATCTTCATCTCCAGACATGAGCTCGTTTGGGCACAGTGGGTTACACAACATACTCAGATACGTCAACTGGGGGGCTGCACTGAAACATTTGAGAAATTAAATCATTATCGGTCAGAAATTACAAAGCCATTTGGATGTCAGATGAATAATGAAACAATCAGACTGTTTGTCTCTGAAACAATCAGACTGTTTATCTGAATTGTTTGTTAACTTACATTCCGAGGTTGCTGAGAATTTGTTGCAAGTCGTCTAGATTGTTGTTGTTTACACTGAGTGAGCTCAAGTTGATCATGGGAGGTAAGGAGAGTTGGGTCACCCCGTTGTTGTCTAGGATAAGTTCCTCTACTTTATTGTAGATGTGAATCCCATTAAGCGTTTGTAAACTGTTGTAGCTGCGGAGGGTCAAAATAAAAACAGACATTTAAAAGGTTCGAAATTTCACAACAACTTTACCAATTCCAAGTGAATAGAATCTATTTAATAAGTTCATAGATAAAATTTGGTGCATTACCAAGATTCTAACCTGAGGTCAAGCAGTTTAATGAAGGATACATCTCTAATAGGAGTAGAGATACAAACGAGGTTCCTTCCCGCCATTATCATAGCAGTGTCATCACAGTTACTGTTAAAGCTATCTTCCAAGCTGTCTTGTGCACTGTCCTGTCCGCTGTCTCCTGAGCTTGGTGGACACAAAGTTTGGTCGATATATTGAGAGTCTACTGAGTTGTACCCACTCTCCATATACTCCAGCGAATCCACTGACGAACTTTGCGATAGACCCTTTCCCTTTGATGGACTCATTCTAGAATCGTCCTGAAATGTTTTGTTTTAAGATATGTAATCGTAATTGGTATCCACACAATGTGTGTTGTCCATTTCTCAATCGATATCTAGCTAGAATAACGATAAAAGACCTTATGATATTGGATAATGAACTTACACGTTTGGTCGAAGAATAGCTGGGAAAAACCTTCTCGACATCACCTCCAAAATCAAAAACTCGTTCCATTATTCTTGTATCAGTTAGCAGGAACATACGCCAGTAAAGACGGTCTATAAAAGTACAAATTATCAGAATAAATTGAAGCTCACAAATTGTTTTCCGAGTGAGTAATCGTATGTTATTTGGCAAAGAGATATCGGTGGGATTATAATACAATAGACACATAACCCGGTATTACCCGGTATACAATTGCGTACAATGGCAAAGCAAACACTTGTGAGCTAATGCAATACTGTATAGGTTGATCCAGTCACAAGTGTACAACTACACAATCTACCAACCTCGACCAAATTAATCAAACCAAAGTCGCGGGTAGCTATTGTATTTGAGCTGGCTGCTCCAACGTTCTCCTATATACCATTCTAATTTAACGCTATTTTCTGCGTATACGCGCTGAATATTGGATTCCAAGAAACTATAAGGATGGGGATTTATGAGCGTGATTTTATAGTTATTACGTTTGATGTTATGACACGCTCCCAAATGTTGTGACACGCTCCCAAATGTTGTGACACGCTCCCGAATGTTGTGACACGCTCCCAAATGTTGTGACACGCTCCCAAATGTTGTGACACGCTCCCAAATGTTGTGACACGCTCCCAAATGTTGTGACACGCTCCCAAATGTTGTGACACGCTCCCAAATGTTGTGACACGCTCCCAAATGTTGTGACACGCTCCCAAATGTTGTGACACGCTCCCAAATGGACTACCTAACGGACATTAATTAATCAGCACTATGATCAAATTTATGCATAATTGGAGTCGGAGAACCATAGTTGCCATGACAGAAAAATCTATTATCGTCAAAATTGATGTAATTATTTAAGTTAATGTTATTTTATCTGTATTTAGCTAAACATTTACTATAATGCCGCCCAAATATTTATATATACCGACAACTTTTATTGGAAACAGAACTAAAAGCAAAATTCCAAAGAGATAATGAAATCAATTAGACCGTTGTTTCAGACGTTTTTTCGTACGGTGATTCCGAATTAACCACATGACATAGGGTAAAAATGCTTACACGACGAGTTATATATGAACTGTTTTTATAACATTCGACAAGAGCATTTAAAGAAGTAGGTCTACTTTCTCATTAGGGTTAGAGTTTTAGCAGATGATTGAGTTAGGGATTGGGAAAGGGTTCTTATAGTTATAGAGTTAGAACTTTGTTCTAAGAAATTTGTTCCACGGAATCGCTGCAACTCAATTTAACAGCTATAAATGGAGGTCACGGAAGGGACCTAGTCCTACCACGATTGTAGTGAATCAGATATTTTTGTATTTCAGATGAAAGACCGATGCCGGCGACTAATTAGTATTGAGCACTTTTGCCGAAGAAGGGAGTTCAGGGTTGATACTCGGAAGTAAAACCCATACACTACTGGGAAACTCGCAAACTAATTGTGGAATTGAATCCTTAACCAATAACCGTTCCGTTCAAGGAAAATCTAACATTTACTGGATTCCGATTTCATCGAAGATAAATAAAAACTTCTGATCTTGAGGCGATTTTTGCTTGAAGCTTTACAAAGACAAAATTGAGCTGTTCCTTGGATTCGGTGATTAGCTGATAGAAAATAGGTGATCTAGAACTAAGTGTAGGCATGGTTTTTCTCGCTTCGAGTTCATTACCGTGCAGTGACTGTAAATATTTGTAAAAAATGAGTAATTTAAAAAATTAAATTAAATACACCGTAGTAATAGTATCACTTAGTACAGACAGATCCGTCTGAAAAAATCGATCTGCCGACACACAAAGCTTACAAATGATTTTTTACGTTTTTGAGTCCTAATAGATGTCCTTTATGGCTGACCAACTTTTCCAAACTTTTCCACGTGTCTTAAGGCCACTTTTTGCCACTTTACCACTTTTAACCACCTTTCTTGTTTGTCAAATATCTTTAGTTGTGAACATCGTAGAAAATTGCAGATTAATCGAGGGTGTTCATATTATCAGGAAAAAAAAAACTTTTGTTCAAACAATTTTTACGTCAGATAATCAGTTAATTGGATAATTATCAATTAGCTAATTAGCAAAATTCTAAAAAAATTTTATTGGCTCAAAATGATCGGAATAGCTTAAAACACGGGGAAAAGTAGTTTTTAGAAAAACTTTGAAAATTTTTCACTTAAATTTTTTTCCCTACTCTTGCCGAAGGCAAAAAGATCGTAGGGAATAAGTAATCGGGTTTGGATATATGAGGTGGCCCGATGGACCTGCGATGACGACAAAAGTCTGCTCCTTCGCAATATAGACCACTCCCCTATAATTAAGTGTATAGGAAGCGTCTGTTATGCTGCGCGCGACGCTAGCCATGTGTTAATTAATTGCAGTGAAGTTCCTCCTTCGCAAAGTTATTTTCCGCAATTTTCTGGATTCATTTATTGTTGATGCGCGGAGCTGCATTGGTAAAATAAATCGTCAATTTTTACCATGCACGAATCCCACTTATTTATAAAAAACATAGTATGTAAATATGGTGCACTTTTTTTCCGGTCACACTTTTCACTCAAAAGAATTAATGGTACATGGTAGGGAAAATTGATCGTGCGTGGTTTAACCGCGGCGAAATTCTTGTTTTTCGAGACTTTGAAAAATTTCGAAAATTCAAAATATTTTTTTCCTCAAGAAGTGATCAAATTGCATGAAACGCGGAGAAAAATGCTTTTCAAAAAAAACTTAGTGAAATTTTCGTTTCATTTTCAAGAATACTTAAATCACCAATATTTGTAGTTGGAGTTCAGTAAATCTCGGCAGATTTTAGTAATCAGGAATCACTAAGTGGAAAGGTCTGAAACTGAAAAACATTAACCATACGATATAAGATCAGTTTCATAACTAATTACTAAATTACAATACAGCCTTATCGATATTCACAGGAACTGTACCAATGGCACAGTCAAGATCGAACCGATAGCCTGCTGTACTATCATTTTATTGATTTCAATGATGAATCAGTGGGGTTGTGTTAATCTAAACCGGCCTACCTGGATTACCAGACCTCTTCTTTTCCTCAACAATCAAACCGAGTTGTTCATATCACATTTGGTGGGTGATGTAAGTACATATCGAGCTGTATTCAATCACAATACGACACAATACGTGTATATTATATTATAGCCCTTAATGAGGTATATGAAACGCTCTATACCGGGTTGTTTCTATACCGTACACTTCTCGTTTCTCCCGTGAGAGGCCCGGTATAGAGAGGTTTCACAGTTTATCACGAAAACGTCTACTTGGCCTCATGGCTCTTTGACAGCTCAAAGAAGGCAAGAAAAGACCAGAAAGCTTAAAATGTCAACTCGCTCTTTTCAATGCTCTTCGATCCGTCCCACATTAATCCCGAGTTGATCATCATGGCCTCAAATATCCTGCGGAAAGAACCTGTATTTTTACTTCACAACGTCCGGATTTCAAATCAACATCCTCAATAACATTAACAATCCTTCCTGGTCAGGATCTGTCCCGTCGTCTCTATTAGCAATTTCCAAAATATCCTGACTCTCGTGGTACATTTCATTGAATTAATTATTACCGCGACCGGTTCTTTACTTCCCCTTGCCCGACGCTCGTATTTAAATCTTACCCTTGCCCGTATGTTACCCTTGTTGATTTTACTTTTAGCCGACCCTGACATATGGGGGTGATTTGAGGTATCCCGCATAGCAAATGAAGCGGTATGCAGTACAATACAAAACAAGTCACAGTAGATGTTGGAAGGCGTATTTTCACTTGCTTCCTGGACCTAGCTGTTCCTTAGTTTCCCTGGTCTTTTCTTGCCTTCTTTGAGCTGTAAATGAGCCATGAGGCCAAGTAGACATTTTCGTGATAAACCGTAAAACCTCTCTATACCGGGTTTCTCGCGGTATAAAGCGTTTGATAAACCTTATTAAGGGCCATAATATAATATACACGTATTGTGTCGTATTGTGATTGAATACAGCTCGATATGTACTTACACCACCCACCAAATGCGATATGAACAACTCGGTTTGATTGTTGAGGAAAAGAAGAGGTCTGGTAATCCAGGTAGGCCGGTTTAGATTAACACAACCCCACTGATTCATCATTGAAATCAATAAAATGATAGTACAGCAGGCTATCGGTTCGATCTTGACTGTACCTGGATCCCCTACTGCGGCCAAACCAAAATGGCTTCCGCAGAGGAAGATCTACCCTCCCTCAGATACTTGCCCTACGACGCATCCTAGAAGAGTGTAAAATCGGAAATCGATCAGCAGCTATCGTGTTCGTCGACTTTTCGAAAGCATTCGACAGTATCAACAGGGATGCCTTGTTTCACATCCTCTCCCTCTACGGCGTCCCTGCTCCCATAACTGATGCTATCAGGCTCCTGTATGACTCATCGCACTCCAGAGTCAAAACCATTGACGGCCTTACAGACTTCTTTAGAACACTCATCGGGGTCCTTCAGGGTGATACTCTCGCTCCTTTCCTCTTCATCATCGTCCTCGATTATGTCCTTAGGAACTGCATGACTCTTGACCATGGCCTAACCATCATCCCCAGGCAAAGTCGGAGAGTACCTGCGGTCAGAGTCACAGATCTTGACTTCGTTGACGACCTGGCCTTGACTGCCGATACCATAGAGCAAGTCCAGCAACTGCTCTCGGATTTAGAGACTGCAGCAGCACATGTCGGACTTGCGATGAATGCTTCCAAGACCGAATACATGACCATCAACATTCCTGATGCTGCCCCCGTGAACTCAATATCCGGTTACCAGATCAAGCAGGTTGATGACTTCAAATACTTGGGCTCATATATTGCAGAGAGCAGGAAGGACTTCAACACCAGGAAAGGCATGGCTTGGTCAGCCTGTATCAAACTGCAGAAGGTATGGACCTCTGGCATTTCTGACCAGCTGAAAGTCAAGTTCTTCAGAGCATGCATCGAACCTGTTCTGCTGTATGGCTCAGAAACCTGGACCTTGAACAAGCAGTTTGAGAAGCGTCTCGACGGGTGCTACACCAGGCTCCTAATGAAAGCCAGGAATCTTTCATGGTAGAAGCATCCAACCCTAAAGCAAATCTATGGTGACCTCCCTTCCATCTCCACCATCGTTGCACAGAGACGTGCCAGATTTGCTGGGCATTGCATGAGAGCTTCAGACCAGGTCATCTCTACCATCCTTCCTTGGCGGCTGCCACAGTTCAGGCGTGGGAGGAGACCACTCTCTTTTCTTGACACCGTAGCCAGGGACACAGGGTTGCGGGTAGAAGATCTCCGAACAGTTATGTGCGACAGAACCATCTGGAGACGTAGAGTGGAGGAGATTTCGATCGAGCATCGCCCAAAGTAAAAAAAAGTAAAGTTGACTGTGCCATTGGTGCAGTTTCTGTGAATATCGATAAGGCTGTATTGTAATTTAGTAATTAGTTATGAAACTCTTATATCGTATGGTTAACGTTTTTCAGTTTCAGACCTTTTCACTTAGTGATTCCTGATTACTAAAATCTGCCGAGATTTACTGAACTCCAACTACAAATATTGGTGATTTAAGTATTCTTGAAACGAAAATTTCAATAAGTTTTCTCGAAAAAAAATGTAAGTGAAAAATATTCAAAGTTTTTCTAAAAACTACTTTCCCCGTGTTTTAAGCTATTCCGATCATTTTGAGCCAATAAAATTTTTTTAGAATTTTGCTAATTAGCTAATTGATAATTATCCAATTAACTGATTATCTGACGTAAAAATTGTTTGAACAAAAGTTTTTTTTTCCTGATAATATGAACACCCTCGATTAATCTGCAATTTTCTACGATGTTCACAACTAAAGATATTTGACAAACAAGAAAGGTGGTAAAAAGTGGTAAAGTGGCAAAAAGTGGCCTTTAGACACGTGGAAAAGTTTGGTTTGGAAAAGTTGGTCAGCCATAAAGGACATCTATTAGGACTCAAAAACGTAAAAAATCCTTTGTAAGCTTTGTGTGTCGGCAGATCGATTTTTTTCAGACGGATCTGTCTGTACTAACTGTGAATCTGTTATCAGGAAGTAGATCCCACTTTCGACTTTTTTACTGGTATTTTGCAACACGAATACAACAAATGAAGCAGTGGTTAGGATAGGAAGAAGTTATGCTTCTGTCTGACGACTGACACATCGTGTTGCATCACGCACAATTCAGACTGCAGAGTAGCTGGATTTCAAGTTCACTGCAGAGATCACTGCAGAGATCACGCACTGGCCACTGCATTACACCCCAGTTCCATGGCCGGATATTATGCCAAATTATTAGACAGAGATGAAGCTCTCCGGGAATTTCTCGGAAATTAATTCATACAGAATCATACAGAATCAACAAAATTACCGTTGATGGTCTCCGGTCGTGGAACTGCAAACCGGAGAAATATCCGGAGAAATATCCGGAGACGATCTCCGTCTAATAATTTGGCATTATATCCGGCCATAGAACTGGGGTGTAATACAGTAGACGGAGCCGGAGAATCATCTCCGGAGATGATCTACGGGAAATGGACCTCCGTCTAATAATTTGGCATAATATCCGGCCATGGAACTGGGGTGTAACCGAATAGTTGGATTTCAAGATTGAAGACCTACACCAGTGACCACCTATTCAGAATCAGCGATTTTGATATATAAGATCATATATTATTTAAGACGGCCTTCGTTTTGTAATTACTCGCTTTCACAACTTTCTGTCGCCGTCAAACAAATTAATTAAGGTAGATTGGAAAACGTTGATCCAAGCATTAAACATGCACAATTTGGAAACAGTCGACGAATCATTACTATTTTACTGGTAAATACAACAAATGACGCAGTGGTTAGGATAGGAAGAAGTTATGCTTCTGTCTGACGACTGACACATCGTGTTGCATCACGCACAATTCAGACTGCAGAGTAGCTGGATTTCAAGTTCACTGCAATTCAGACTGCAGAGATCACGCAGAGATCACGCACTGCATTATAACCGAATAGCTGCATTTCAAGATCTACACCAGTAACTACCTATTTAGAATAAGCGATTACTGGTTTGTTCAACCAATCACATTGGTTGACGCTGTTATCAGTTGTTTTGATAACAGTTGATTTTGATATATAAGATTATATATTATTTAAGACGACCTGCGTTTAATTTCTTGCGGTACAATATTCACGGACCGGGATTGGATAACTTATAAATGGATGCAGAATTCTGTGAGTATGTTTGACCAATATTCAAGTGTTCGTTTATTTGTATGTATGTAATTTTTTTTATTATTACAGTATTTTTGTTTATCAATGATGAAACACGATTTGGTTTTTTGAAAATTCGAATTAAATTGAATGTACAACTATTTAAAATTACCAAAATATAACTGATAGTGCTATTTATTATTTAAAAACCCAAAATATAACTGATACAGTTGCGATACATAATTCAGGATGAAGGTTATCGGAAGTTCATTGAGCGGAGTTGTGACGAGTAAAGGAGGTGTATTGAGAAGTAGAGGAGCTGGTTCCAGTAGAGGAGCTGGTTCCAGTAGAGGAGCTGGTTCTAGCTCTAGTTCCAGTACGTCTGTGAGGAGGATTGGCAGCCATGTTCACACCAATAGTCTCTCGTTTAACCCAAACCCAGAAAGGCATCTTCTCCTTCCCTTTGTAGTAGGAATCCTGGGCAAGCATATACGAAGGAAGGTTTGTGGCATCTCTTCGTCTGCGGACAGTAGATTCTTTAGGGCAAAGCATATCCTGTAGGCTGATGAGATGAGAGAGCAGATCCTCTGTCTCAGCGTGAGGTCCCAGGTTAGTCAGTACTCTTGCTATCAAGTTTTCAGGATATCCCAGCTTGGTGGCATACTGTAGGAATGAAGTCTCTGGAGAAGATTGACGAGAAGCAATATGAGGTTCTGACTGATGGAGGGTAGTGAGAGGTGGTGCCATAGTTAAGCAGGAGGGTTCCAGGCTGAAGAATGTCTGTCTGGTGGTGACTGTGGAGAGGAGTTCAGATGGGAAGAAAGGGGTTGAGGTTCTAGAAGGTTCCATTTGATAATATCGTTGTTGTTGTAATAGTTGTAGTAGTTGATTAAACGATAAAGCTGGATAACTAAATTGTTATTGTGGCAGGTTTAAATACTGCTGTCCCTGAAGTTCTGAGCTTGTTATCTCGTGTCGCCAAGCATGGTGGTGTGATTAGAGTACATGAATCGGTGTGATCAGGGTACATGATACGGAATCTGACTCGCTGCTCCTGCTTGACACCTCAATTTAGTGACGTGATGGGAGTGGTGGTCATGCGATCTCGGTTATGTCGAATAAGTGATGGTCCATGTGATCCGACCTTTCCTACGATGACTGTGGGTAGGCCTCCCTGAAATTATTCCTGCACAACTGAATTAGAGGGTATAAGTTAAAATAATATTTTAGAAGATTTTTTTACTTAGTTGAAAGCTTCAGGTATAACGACATTTGAAACTGAGCAATTTCATTTTCTATATTGCCCCATTTTTTATTGAACTTGAACGTTCATTTGAAAGAAAAAGCCTCACTTCAGCAAACTGTGAAAATAACTCTTTTTATGAAAATGGCTAATATTTCAGATTACAGTGATTTCCACTCCCTTCATTTTTTACTCAAAAAAGGAAATTCAAAATTCTTTTGTAGCTTCCGTCAATTCGCCAGCAGCAAACTATTCTCCACGACTTCAACTCATTTTGAACTTGCTCCGCTCGCGAGATGACGAAAGCGTTAGCAATACTGTTGATAGTTGGAAAGATGAAGATAGTCGTCAGGAAGTTTCCATAGTTACAGAACAGCTCGATCACCCATTCATGATCGTTCCACTTTTTATCCATACAGATGAAATGCCGGAACAGGTTCATCAGTCCGAAAGCCACGAAGCAAATCATGTAGAAGAATGCCAGAACGAAGACTTTGTTGGCGGTCCTCCGCAGGAGTATATCACGGTTACGTCTGATAGGATAGAGGATTACCAGAGCAACCACGAACAGTGCCAAGGTCAGTCCAATGAAGACGACCCATGCGTAGAGAAGGACCATGTGCTTGTCATGATCCCAGAAGTGATGCTCTATACAGGCAGCACTAGAGCCCAGGATCCAGCTGGACACAACGAGGGGTAACATGTACTTGTGCTGGGCTATGTTGACGAAGTGGAATGGTAACCTCAGGGCGGATAGTCTTAGAATTCCCATAATAGAGGTTGACAGTAGACCGGATCCCAGAGCAAACAATTCTGAAATATACGGATTGTGATGTGTTATCCACTCATTCTATAAAGATATTAATAGGAAAATAAGAAAATAATTATATTTCAGGACACACACTGTGACGAAAAAGAAAACCTGATCTCAAATTCTGACATCTGAGACCTAAGTTGTATTTTATCACACAAACATTGTAATTAATACCTATTTTCATGACAAATGCAATGACAAGGTTCATCATCGTGGTAGAAACAGTAGTTTAAAAATATATATTTTGGAGCTAAACTGTCAACTAAATATAACCAACCTATGTTGTAAAGGACCTTAGCAGCTTTAAACAGCCTAGGACTGGAAGCAGAGTGGTCGGGTCCAGCAACGATCCTCATTATGAAAAGAATTGAGGCTGCCAGACTACTCACGGTTCCCACACATATCATATTGAAGTAAGCTAGAGCTGGAGCACTCTTCCAAAACTTCAGTCTGATGTGAACTGCTATCTGAAGCAAACAAGCATTTTCATTTTATTGAAGGTACTGTATAGTATTGCTATGAGTGCTGCAGATGGATGTAAAACCAGAAGTTAACATCTCGATACTCGAAATAGTATACACAAATATGATCCATAGTTTGTGCTAATTCTTACCAGCATAACGTTGAAAGAAAAGTCAAGTAATCCAATGGGTAAACAAATAGCAGGTAAGAGAGTTGTGAACACGGTACTGTTTGCTAAAGCACTGGGCTCGTAATCAGCCGTCATGTTCAACCTCATCTTCCTGTGTCCACCAAAATAGGTTTAACAATATTCTGATCAACTCAAACTAAAAATGTTTAAGATAAAGTGAACTTTTTCACATTGAAGCACGCTAATTCCTACAGACAGGAACAAATTGATAGCAACGAAGTGTTAGGTTACTCAATGTGATATCGACTACCAAGATACTGATACGAAATTAATTTTAAAAGGAAAAGTGGTACGACTTCAATACGATTGCGATATGTGATGAAAAGTAGCAAAAAGCCGCTGGTCCATCATCGTTGATTACCAGCGACTTCGCGGCTGATATGGTTTCAAATTACTCGCAGTACATTAATTGAATTGTGATGGTGAATATTCTATATCAAGCATATAACGTAACAACTAACAGGTGTCTTTAGATAAGACACCAGAAATAAGACTCGTGTTCTACGCTCAACACGTATTCAACACAAAATGTCACGTTCAAATTGCACTGTTTCTCCCGAAATGTTGGAAACTACGGATATGAAGTCCTTGTTCTTTAGAGTCATTCCTGCGATCTGTATCTTTTTAGGAATTGTTAACATACTCTACAACTCGCTCATGGTAAATTAAAGTTGTTTTTATGAATTCTTAAAATCTGCCTTTGCTTTTGAGTTTGTTTTCTGTCTGCAGCAGCGGCCGTTTTCTGATAACACTTTAAATCGAATTTCAGATAGCAGTTTATATCCGGATCAAGCCGTGGAAGTCGCCCATTCTGCTAACCTACTTCAATATCCTCCACTACGATGTGATAGCCAGTGTGGGGGCAGTTTTCATGTATTCTGTTAAAATCTACCTTTTCACGCACGAGACAAACCGTTTTATCGGGGAACTTAGAAACGCTATTTACAGTACAGGTATTCTTAATTTCTAATTACCAGATCTGATTTTTTCGTCCGTGTTCTTAAAAATGTTGAATTCATAAATTTGCGAAATTCACTAGTTGAGTTTTGACCATCACAACAGCAACGAAACGTTGAAATCGTTAAAAAAAACGCACGGCTGTAATTCTTATACGCATTACGCGTGAACATGTTATTACATTTCTGTCACAAATAATATACCAAGCTATTGAATTACAATCACATATGTGTATCCTGACCATTCAATACATTTCTCCTGACCATTCAATACATTTCTCCTGACCATTCAATACATTTCTCAATGTCTCAAGGTTAATTAATCAACGTCCCCAGAATTATTCTCGGTGTTCGCTAGCATGGTATCCACCATCCTCCTTGTAACCCTCCGTGTAGTCGCCCTCTCCTTCCCCTTCTTCTTCAGAAACAACCTCACCGTACGGCGAGTCCTCCCCTTCCTCCTACTGCCCTGGCTGGTCGGAGGGATGATGGTATTCCTCGACATCAAGCTCTATTTCCGAGAGATGTTCTTGGAGTCTGTTTGGACGACATTTTTAGTGGTGGTGACGTTGACATTGGTGTTGGCACTGTTGTCTCTTCTACCTTTATGGAGATCGGAGACTTACAGAACAGCCACTAACTCCATAGTCCTGCTCACTTTTCTCAACTTTATGTGTTACGGGGGGTTTGGTGCTTTCAACCTAGCCCAGGCGATAATCTGCGGAAACCCCTACATTAACCCACCGCTGGATCTCCTGCGGTTTTTCTGTAACATAGAAACATTTAACAGTGTGATATTCATCTTCCCTACAGTGTACAGCCTGGGCAATGTGTTGGTCATCTCCAGAGGGGAGCTGGCGTGGGAGGTGTTGGCAGAGTGGTTCCAGAGGATCAGATCTGTGTGTGGTAGAATGCAGTCTGTTTGTTGTAGGTTCAGATCACAGGATGGTGGGGATCAGTGTCAACTGCAACCCGGGAATACAACCATCAACTCTGACAACACCACCGAGTCGACTAACGTCGGTTTAAACTTTAAAAACAGATGCAATTCTCAAGTATGATGTGACAAGGGGCACTCAACAATTACAAAATTAATTTCAGACCTCATTTATCGTGACTGGTTTCCAAAAATCCTAAATCCAGGTTCAGTGATTTGTCACTTATCATAATATAGTGCCAGATGTTCACGATATTGGTATAATACCAGATAAAAGACATGATCCATTTTTGGGAACCTGATGTAATTATAGATGTATCTTTTTACTGACCTAGAAAAGAGAGGTACCGTAATAATGCTATATATTATTGGTATATTGACCTGTGAACTGAAATGTTGCAATATAGAACTACCGGGAACAGTAGGATTGTTACCCGATTAAGCTGGGTCCGACCCTCATGTGATCCTAATTTGATTATCTTGAATGGCATTTTAAATAGGTTGCTCCCATTTTCAGCTCAGTGGCACTACCGTATCATGTTTCTGTTAGGGACCCTCTTATATAAATTGACTTGAAAACAACTCTTTTTGTCTACAGTCTCTTTGATCTTGACTTTTTCTCCTAAAAAATGTGTTGTCCGTCGAGAACCAATATTTTAGTTATCGGTTTTCATTTTAGTGGATTAGATTACAGTTTCACATGCAGTACAAAGGTACTATAACTATCAGGTCTTCATTATTTTCTAGTTGATGAACACATTATCTTGACTGCACATGTTCTTTATTGCCCATTATCATAAGTTAGGTGTATCCTCCATCAACAGTTACCCTCACTGTTGTCTGTTACTCATGTAGTTACAGAAAATTAGAATCCTCCTTAAAACCTGCAAACAAATATTTTGCCCTTGGTTATAGTCAAACGATAGCAAAGGTTTACCGCAAGCAAAATTTATTTGATTTTTACGATGGCCCAATAATCAATATGACGGTGAAATCATTGAGTGGTTGTGTACTGCTTTTGGATTTTTGTACAACCAAATAGATGGGTAATTGTAGGTTTACAAAATAGGCACTAGGCAGAATCTGCCTATATGCCTATCTGTCAGTCTGGCAGAATATGCCTTTCTGCCAGTCTGGCAGATATGATATGATTGTTTCGACTTTCATCCCTTCCTTTAATCCGGTACCTCTCCAAAAATAATATACAAATTATGTCGTAAGAATGAACGTTTTTTTACTTAAACCATTACATCAGTGAAATCTTACTCAATTGAGATAACCTCATGGAATTTGGTCTGTGAAGTTCTAATAAGCTCAGGACCACCTGCTTCACAGAGTAATTCACCAGGAGTCAGGAGCTTCACAGACTCGGTCAGAACTATACTGAACATACGTGTTCCGGCTCACTGACTGTTAACAACGTATTGTTAACTCCTTGTTAATGTGATGCAGTTACGTTCATTTACGTTCTCCATATTTCTTTTATTTATCTGATTTTTGTTTTAAAGGTTAGGCTTATTATAATAACTGTTGAAAAATTAATTAGTTCATCGGGACGTAGTTATAAAGTCACACTGTCACAGCAGCACAGTTTAACGAACAATTTTCCCAGTTTTGTAAAGTTAAAGAGATGTCTTTTAATTCTCTTCGTGTTCAATTGTATACGGTTTCGCAGATCGCAGTGACATTGTACCCTCTCCGCCGAACCATTTTAATGATGGGTCGGACAAAGTCTGACAAATAAAATTTAATTTTAATGTAATCAATACTCATGATGACAGTTAATAAAATATACATTTTGTGGGTTTTATTTCTGATGTTCAGTAAATTTATAAAAAATATTTCAGCTGTAAAGCATTATACTCCAGTAGCAGGGAGGAGTTGAGTGTGCACTTCGATGTATAGAGTTTTTTGTTACTGGATAAGGTTAAATAGGTCATTGGTAACTCAGATCACCGAGGGCTGCATGTTGTGTCGCTAGTCCCAACCCTGTGGAACCACGCCCATATTTCATATCAGGCGCGTATATGGGAAATTTATATCTCAGCTTCTAAAGGTCTTAGAGACTCAAATTTGAGTTTAAAATGACCGCAATGCACATGCTTATATTGGCACTGTGAAGGTCATGAAAGCCCAAAATGCTTATTTTTGGAAAAAATTCAAAAAAACTGATTTTCACTTGGGCGCGAGTAAAAAAATCTACTCTAGAAATTAAGTGATATTGGGTAAGAAGTTCAGTGTCTGCAACGTTTATAAACACAGGATCCTTTGTAGGGTCATTCTGCATCAGAATTGATAAGGTACGCAAATTCTATTAATAGTTCCACCCTAGGGGGACCGGGGGGATTTCTAACTTACCCTCAGGCCTCCGGCGCAAATATATGACTCTTGTATCTCGGCTTCTGAACGTCGTAGGCCTCACGCGCAAATATATGACTCTTCTATCTCGGCTTCTGAACGTTGTGGGGGCCTCTCTTTGAGCTCGAACTAACTGCAATTCAATGACCACATTTATGTACAAACTATAAAGCAACACGTGGTATATAGTGCTTAGTTTTTAGAAAGTCATTAAAAACTTTTTAAACCTTCATGCGTCATAAAAAATTAACATAAAAAATGTATTTAATTATGGTATCTCGGGCTAAAAAAGTCTGAAAGACATTTACAGCACATTAAAACGTTCAACATGAATACATTTGGATACAATTTATGGATTCGAGTTGATTAGCCATAATAGCCAAGCAGTACTGGAGAGAGCCCCAGAGAAGGAGCTGAAGGCAGCCTAAGATAGCTGGAAGGAGCTTCTAAAACTGAGTATTTTCAAAGTTATACCAAAATTGAAGTTAGGTGGTATGTGCTGCTCCATAAATTTTGTTCATGTTGAACGTTTAACTGTGCTGCAAATGTCTCTAAGACTTTTTTATCCCGAGATACCATAATCAAGTACATGTTTGATGTTACTATTTGTTACATTTTGTTTTCTGACAACTTAAAAGCTCAAAAATCTATCTAATCATGCCCCACACAAAACGTTTTTAACGTCCTACGTACACTAAAAACCCGATTCACCGGGAAAAGAAAATAGTCAATTGGAGTTTTACTGTGCGTAGTTCCGAGAAAAAAGAAATCGTTAGGAACCTATTCAGAGCGTGATGTCATGGTCGATATTTCAAAATCTTCATTAGAGGCCATTCTATTTCTACTGCGTGGGGTTGACTATTAAGTTTCTATAAAGGAGGTGGTTGGCAGAACCACCTGTATTTAATTGCTATTGTAAGAATAGTATTCTACCAGCTACCTATTCACAAACTTTATAATGCGATTTTATTTAAATACCACTATGATTTTAGCTG